ACACACACACACACACACACACACACACACACACACACACACACACACACACACACACACACACACACACACACATACATACACCCGTGTCTTTATTAACTCCTGATATAGATGGAATACATATTGTTATTTTATTTATTTAATATACGTATTGTATTTTAAGCGGCCAATTCCCAGACGCCAGGGAAGTGATGGCGATGCGGGAACGCAACCGGTGGCAGGGGGAATGTACAAACAGAGACGGGAAGGTCAGCGGTCGGGCCCGAGATCAAAGCGAGCCGTGGCTCGGGACAGAGCCGGCTAGCCGGAAACCACGGTCATGAATCCCCGAATTCTTGCGGATTGTGACAGGCAGCTCTAGATATCGACCGCGAAGGTGCCATCCTGTGGATGACTATGCTGACACCAGGGCCAGAATCGGATCATGGAATCGAGCCAAGTGGGAAATACTTACCCCACCTTATTCGGTAAGGCCGATTGGCCTAGTGGGAGCTAAAACGAGACCGGTGACGTGGAGGAAGGCGCGCGGTCTTGGGTCCGTGCCACGACGTATAAATAGTGGGGGACGCCCTTCCTCAGAAGTTTTTGTAAAAGCGACACCCGCTGAGAAAGGTGTAATTGCGTGATACGGTTACTGTTGTAGTAAACGCTCTCTTTTTATTTAGTAGTGCACTGAGAGAATTTATGTCTCGGATTAGAGGTTGAGTAAAACGCCAGTTCATGTTACCGCTTGTCTTGTCTTCTCTCTATAGTCTTTTGCAGAACCTCTACTTCCGTAGTACTCCTAACGCATCTACAATATAGTTAGGTATATGATATTTGCTGTTCACCCATTTATGCTCCTGTATTGGTTCCGCATCTCTTGGATATCGCCATCCATGACCACACTTACTGTCAGATTACTGATTAATCGCAGAGCGGCCATGCACTGACCTACGAGCCAACTGATACAAGCAACGATTCCATCTGCTGCTCATTGCATATCTTCGAACCCTGTTTGTTTACTTTGTTATAATTACTCCTGATCGATATCTTATATTGTTGCAACGGTCACTTCTGTGCTCTTTCTATGCCCCTACCTGGCTTTCCTTTAACATAACCATATTGAAATTATCATCAAAATTCCAACTGTCACACTTTGTCTGTTTTTCTTGTAACATGTTCCTAGGGTTACATAACCTTACCCCGATCAACTACGTGATTTTGAAGACGCGAAAGACGTGAAAAAAACTCGACCAATGACAGCAGTGTGAACGCCGCTGTTAGTTCGTAGCGATCATAAGCCCACTCCACCCACACTGTGTACACGCCGGAGACGCGGCGTCATCGCTGGAAGGCGCGGGCAAAGAATAACTCGCTATGATCAGACCAGGAGTCTATCAATAGGAGTAAGACAGACTGAAACCGGAAAAATTCAACATTTAGTACCCTTACGATTTTTATCTATTTTATCTATTTTCTATTTATCTTATGACCTTTTATCTCTTATGATCTAATGACTTTTAGTCTACCTATAGTCTACCTATGATTTATTGTGTTGGTCTATTGATAGACTCCTGATCAGACGTGAGCGTTCACGCAGGACGGCGGCCATTGTGCATGTGCTGGCGCGCGGCGCGAGGGCACGGCGTAACGATGGCGAGCGATGATAACGCGATGAGCACGCAGCCGGTATAAGAGGGGCGAGAGTGAGCATGATGGGCACACCTGAAGGAGCAAGCTTCCGCGCAACGTCACGCATGTATATGCGTTATCATCGTCGGCCGGTGAGTGAGTGGCTAGCGCCGTTATTCATGTATTGCGTAGAAATATACGTGTGTGCGTGCGAGCGTGTGTGCGTGTGCGTGCGCGTGTGCGTGCGAGCGTGTTTGTGAGTGCGTGCATGCGTGCACGTGCGTGCGTTTTTGTATGTATGCGTGCGCGCGCGTGTGAATGTGCGTGTGTATGTGTGGTGCGCTGTCCTGCCATATAAAGTTGTTTCGCTCATCGCATGCTCCGTCCCATTTCCTCGTTTGCCTCTCTCACGACCTCGTCTCTCGTCCGACAGTTTCGCCACGTCGATTCTACATCGATGAAATCCCTCCGAGCGACATGCCCGACACGTCTCTCGCACTGATTTCATTGATTTGATTCTGGTATTTGTTACTTATTAACGTAAAATTGATCCGCCAACTATAGCACTCTAACATCGAAGTAGTATTAATGATTATACTTATAATTACAATATAATTATAATATATAATATATATAATATAATATAATAAAATAGAATATAATAATTATAATATAATATATACTTATACTTATAATTAGGGGTGAATAATAAATTTAGTTAGATCGTAATACACACTGTACCTCCATGTGCCGAAATCGCATTTGGGCAGCGCTATTACGCTATTATTTCATCCCACTGCATGGTCTGATAGTCAATAGTCAATAATCTCGATGACACTGCGATCTATACATACCGGCGCTGTGGCAAAGACGATTCTTAAAGCTGATCCAACTCTACGAAAATAATATTTTTGAGATTATAGTTATCTAATATGATATATTCTAGTTCAGATATGCTTTCAATCAGTTCCGTGTTGTACTTTATCGCATTGAAAACATCGACAGAAAATTCAAAGTGAGATCTAAAATAATTCGTTGTGGCATACGGAACCCGTTCAAACGAAGTTTCTGCTTCTGATCGGCGGCAGCGACCAGATAATAGCTATAATAGCTGTAGTAATGTTGAAAACTGATATACGATGCAGAAACGCGGATTTTGTGATTATGAACCGGTTTGCAGAGTGTTTTCTGGCACTAAGACGTACTTAGGCCTACATGTTGTTCTACGGTTATCCGATTCTGGTGCACTTCTGATAACAGACATCTGGTGCGTGTATGACACCATGTATCTCAACAATTTGGGCTTTTACGTTGTTTGAAGGCGTTAGGAGTTGATGCCGCTTTAGGATTCCGATGTTGAATGGGAATATCATATAAGGAATTAATACTATTAGTTCTTAGTTCAATAAATACCTCTGTCTGAACTAACGAACACAGCGCGTATATACACTCTCCGTAGTGGACCGAATTTAGACTTACGCGAATATCACATGGCGGTATTCTTTACTAATGTAAAACACATTCGAAATCAGAGTGAAGCCAGTGATGTCTTATTAGACGTCACGAATGCCATGATTTGCTTTGCTAGAATAGAGTTCCTGCCATGCCATATTTTTGGGGATTTCAATAATGTGTGTGTGGAGCATGTGTAGTGGCACCGTTTGCACTGCTTTGACTCCAGTCATATTTCCTCGTGCCTAGATACGCAACTATAGCACAGCATGCGTCAAAGAGTCACTGATGCGGGACAAAATGAATCTATTGTATAAGCTCGGTCAGGAAAACGTGCGATAGAATAGTAAGAAAAAGAGTGCGGAAACGTGCGGAGACAACGCGAGAATGAAAAAAAATGATACAGAGATAAGGAATGGGAGAAAGGGGACGGCGAGTAAGCAAGAGAGAGCAGAGAGGGAGGGTAGGAGACCTATACCTCTCCTTTCTCTCCCGCACCCTTTCCTATACTCACTCTACGACCCCATCTTTCATTCTTTCTATACCCTTCATCTGCCTCTGTCTCAGTCTCCGCCTGTAACTGTCTCTATCTCTGTCTCTGTCTATGTCTCTGTCTCTACCCCCTATGTCCCTGTCGTCGTCTCTGTCTCTGCCGCCGGTCATGCCTTCGTCGCTGCTTTGGCCTCACCAAAACATCGTTCACTGGTTGGTAGTAGTCCACACCTTATTAAAATATGTGATTACCTTACGATATTACCTTAGAATAGAACTAGGCACGAGCTAAGTGTACTTCTATAGTAACGCACTATACACATTGATACGCATATATACATGTTTATTACTATTTATCTTATGTAGTATAAATTCACGTTAGGTAGTTCCCCGAAAGATCGGACTATTAAGAATGTTCGTCGACACACTGCTAATATATAGATCACGGAGGTCATAGAGATTGCCACTAAAAATGTTGGTTAGCACACCTCTAACATGTAAGGGACATGACGCTGAGATGGCCATGCTATGACAGGACTAAACATTGACAACGACACGCGATATACGAAGACTAGTGAGAGCACGTTATATTGAACGACGACACATACTATTTCCCCATCTACTTGTTTTGCACAGTCATGGGCATTCCTTCTTGATGTGCATCGCGACGTAAATATTCGGCGAGGTGATGAAAATCGCGTTTCCTGATCAAGATTATGATCATGAATGTCTAGGTCACGGTTTACTTCTTTTACGCCAGCTGGCGCAAAGTTTAATGCCAACATCGTTGTATAGTGTACTGTATATCGTGTAATGTATATATATCGTATTATGTTGATACATACTCAACTAATTTGAGTATAATTTACAAGTAGTCATCGATCGTCGATCACCAATCGTCATCCAGTTTTGCATAACTACAGAAATATAGATGATCTGTAATCAGAATGATTATTGTAAGTGAGATTGTATAACAAGCCTAATAATGATGAGAACCCCCAGATCAGTGGGCATTATACTGAGATAGCGGCGGGCTTGTATATTAGGTGCACCGCATGCAGGCTTGCTATCGGTACCCATCGTAGACGAACTTTGGGTCACGCGTCTAGGCCTTATATAATAATAATCATCATCATCATAATAATAATATAATAATAATAATAATAATAATAATAATAATAATATAATAAAATGCTATCCTGCCGTCTTTTCTAAATGCTAAAGTGCCGTCTTTTCTCTCCACCCTCACTCAGTCACCCTGTCCCTCTTCCTTCCTTCCCCCTCTCTAACACTCTTGCTCTCACCCTTGGCCATTTGCTCTCTCCCATTGTCTCTGTTACGCTCTATCTCAGAGACTCTCTTTCGTGCCACTCTCATTCCTGCGAGATCTCTTCCCCTTCGCAAGAGAAGGGAACGAGAGGAAAAGAAAGTAAGACAGAGAGGATAATAAGAAGGAGAGACAATGAGGAGATGTAGAGGAAGAGTGAGTAAGCGAGCGCGAGATACTGATTAAACAAACAAGCCTTCATGTTTTTATTATTATTATTTTATTTTTATTGTTAATATAATTATCGCTATTAATATTATTATTAATATTATTATTATTATTATTATTATTATTATTATTAGTAGTAGTAGTAGTAGTAGTAATAGTAGTAGTAGTAGTAGTAGTAGTAGTAGTAGTAGTAGTAGTAATAGTAGTAGTAGTC